TATTATATATTGTATATTATATATTACAGAGTCTGCAGGGTGCATGAAATTCGCGCACTGCCCGCAATCCTGCTGCAGATGCAGACACTGTTCCCAGGCGAATTGCCGAAGAGCGTGAAGCCGCGAATATTGCTCACTGCGATGTAGTGAACGGGGATGTAGTACAGAATAGCCCAGCCCACCACTCGCAAAGACAGAGAGGAACCATAGGTCTTGGACGCACCTGCCAGGGCACACCCAAGACCTCTCGGTCTGCCGCGCAGTCTCCATCCAAACACTTGCCAGATAAAACACGGTCCGAGCCTGGTAGCCCTTGCTCGGAAAATGTCAAGACAATCAGACCTCAAGAAAGATGCACAGAACACCACCGTCGCTTCCTGGACATGCAGTCCTAGAAGGCAGGGATCATGCTCGAAGATACTCTGGGCCTCCAGCCTGCTGAGAGGAAAATCATGACGATGAGAGATGCTACCACTGTGTCACGGACGGTCGGTAGGCATAGTGCCACAGAGCCGAATGCATGCTTCCCCGCCCTCTCCTCGGGACTCTGCCTGGGCCTTAGCTGTGCTCAGACAGCCGAGCAAGTTATCAGAAAGACGTGCCCGACAACTCTACCTAGAGTTAGGGAAACGACAGCGAGCAAGAAAATGGGGTTGCGTCTAAAAGTACCGTCTCAGCTCCCCACTGTCTAAACCCTAAATGACACTAAACCTGGAAGCCGAATGTAGGGGCCTTAATAATTAGAAAAATTGTTGAGGGCATATTATACTATGACTATAACAATATGCAAGCCCAAAACAGTCACTTCTGAAGCTCTGCGAGGTGCAGAGGTACGGGCTCGCTTGCAGGCAGCTGAGGCGTTGGTCTCGCCGTGCCTGGAGCCACTGGCTTCTCCGGCGCAGGCTCCAGCGATTCCGACACCATTGGCCAGGCAGAAAATATGAGAATGATTAGGGGCAAGGCTCCGGGGACGTAGGGTTGAAGGTTATTCTGCGTTTTTTGGGGCTGGATGAGTTTGTGGCGTTACCCCTAACAGGGTACAGAGCAGTAGGAGATAGAACCAGTTCTTCCACTGGACTTGGCCATCCTTCGCCGTGGACCCCCCCTTTTGAGCTTCACAAAGTCGGATCCAACATTCGCGCCGCAAGATTGCCTTGAAACCTATGCTTCCAAGACAGTCACGACACGTGACAGGCTGTCTGAGACTCCTTAAAGCCTATATGCTGCAAAGCTCGAAGACAGAAAATCACACCATGCTGTCCTTGAGCCTACACAGACTCCCTTCAGTCTTCAGGCCAGGCTGCGGCCGCCTGTGTTCGAAGCCCCGCTCGCGGCGCTTCACGCTCGGAGGGGCGGACAGAGTCTCCAGCCTGGAACGAAAATCACTTCGAGGTCGAGGCCAAACACACAAAGCTCCACCTAAGCTGCTGCAAACAACACTAAAGATCGTAGTCTGTTCCAGCTCCTGCCTATGATCCGTTTTCTTGATCCCTCCCCTCGAGCCTTGGCCTTCGGTGGCGCGGGGGGCGGAGGCGAGCGCTTTGCCACCGGAGCGCTCGGCTTCGGTGGCGAAGGGGGCCGAGCTGACGAAGACTGCGCCGGCGTCACTGGCGAGGAGGGCGCCTGGACCTGACAGCGGCAGCGGTTTAGGGTTTTTTTTTTAAGGGT